GAAAGAAGATGAAGAAGGAATAAGAAAGAAAAAAGGAGAAAAAGAAGAAAAAGAAAGAAAGAAAAAACGGAAGAAGAAAAAAATGATAGAAGAAAGAAGAAAAAGAAAGAAAGAAAGAAGAAAGGAGAGGAAGAAGAGAATTAAGGGTAGAAATGACTTTTCATTCTCAAAAACTTTCCTAAAATAGAAATGGGAAGTTTTTTTGTGGACGGATGAAAAAAGAAAGTGGGAAGTTCTTTTTTGGACGGAGGGAGTATAATATGAAATGATAAAAATATGTGTATTATGGTGGGTGTGATGGGAAGTGGTGAGATGTGAAAATGTATTAAATTTTGATTGATTGAAATAAAAAATTAAAAAATGGGACAATGCCCGTGACCACCATCAAGCCCCTTTGTCACGTCCACAGTGTCGTAGTGGCCACATCGAGACAGGGCGTGATGCAGACTGATGCCTCTTTCACGCCCGCGGGTCAAACACCATAACACATGGTCTAATATGCGATTCAAGCACTCCCTCTCTTGGGATTTAGGACACTTACAATGGGCCCGACTCTCACCCTTCCTCAATCCCCGCCTCATCATTCCCTTCCTTTTTTGCACCAGGCTGAAACACTTGCAATGTTATCACCATTTCGCCCTGCCTTTTCGTCTATCTTACATTATTCACCATTTTTATTGAAAACTTAAATAAATTTAATAAAAAAGTTTAAATATTAATAAAAATAGATAAATAATAATTAAAAAATAAAAGTGATTATAACAATTGAAAAATAAAAAACAAATAATACATTGAAATTACAAAATATTACATTAAAAAAAGTGGGAAATTTAACATGCTTAAAATTAAATTAAAATTATAAATACTAAAAAAAGATAATTTACTTAATTTCTACTTTGATCATGGTGTGGGTTGCCTCCATAATGTCCTTCTGCATCTTCAGCTCGCTCTCCCCCATCTCGGATGTGTCTGTTCTCATGAGTGTCATGAGGTTGTTGATATGTGCTCATTTTCTCCATGGAAGATTATGTCAATGTCGACATTGGTGGCAGTGGCATACTAGAGGCCTTTGCCTTAGTCTTCCCATTTGGCTTCTTTGACGCCTTCATCCCAATAAAATGGCTTTTCTTGTTGGGTGTCTCGCTGTGAGAATTGAAGTCATCCCTTGATGCGTTAAGGTCAATAGATTGTCCACCACCGCTCATCGATTATGAACTAGTTTCGGAAAATTTGGTTCACTTCGACCCTGATCATTTAGCATCCGCCTCAATGCTAAATTTGCACGTAGCACTTAGAACCGTCGTGTCACTCCTCACTACCTAAACACATTAGTTAACGAATTTGGGAGTGGATACCAACTTTTTTGGTAGTATGTAATGGTCATGTTATGCCTACATTTTCTAGCGGTGTGTTATGCCTATGTTTTGGGTAATGTGTTTTGGTTCACAATCCTTAACTACACTTTCAAACAGTGTGTTATGCCCATGTTATGTAAGTCTATACCAACTTAAACACATTTTTTGGCAGTGTGGAATGATCATGCTTTGGCAGTGCGGATACATGTTATATTGGATATGACGACATTGTGTTATACCTATGTTCTAGAAGTGTATATCAATTAAACACATTTTTTGCAATGTGGAATGCAAGGACAAATTTGTAATTTGTAGTATTGGGTACTTTAAGAATGTATTAGTGCTACGACGATGCTTCTCCTTTTTAAAAAATACTTTTGAAAAATTACTTTTCATTATTTCAAATACAAACTTTTTCTTCTTTTTATGAAAAAAGAAAAGAAAAATAACAAAAGAAAAAAGAGAGGAGACATCGGTGGCCATTTCCAAAACCATAGGGACATCGTAGTTATTTATTTAATATTTGAAGAGTATTTTGGTCTAAAGGATAATTGGTGTAGAGATATTCAACACGGAAAGCAATGATGTAAATTTTAAAATCTAAGGGGTAACAATGCATATTTTGCCAAATCAGGGGTTTAATGCAATGTAGGGGACTGTTCTTTTCTTTTTCCGTCAAAACGACATGGTTTTGAAAAAAAAAACTTCACATAGGCGCCTCCCCTGGTCATCCCCGTCGATCGAAGAATGGATGAAAGAGCAAAACCCTAGCCTCCGACCATCCCAACTCCCACTCCCATAGTCGGATATCCTGTCGCCGCCAGACCTCCGCCGCCGCTCGCCCCATTTCCGCCGGTCACTTGGATCCTTTCTAGAGGCTGTTTTCCTTCTTCATCTTCTTTTCCAAATCTCCAAAATCCTTCAATCCCAAAGGTAATGTAATTATGATGAATTTGATTCTATGATTTTTAGTTTTTAACGCGTGATTTGTTCTCCATCTTGATTTAATTCAATATGCAATTAGTTTTTCATTGATAATTGATTCATAAGTTTTTATTGAGCCCTAAATTCTTCTATTGCTCAGGACCCCATATATAATTCCGTCGCCCCTGCCCCCTCTCCACCTTCTGCCGCCGTCGTTCCTCCGTTACCATGGTGGCAGCCGACAAAACCTCCTTCCCTGTGAAGCCCAAACTCAAACCAACCCACCGGAAGTCAACATCCACCCCAGAATCCAAGTACTGGAAGTCATTCAAAACCCCAAAGGAGCTACCGGCCCAAACCCCAGGCCCCACCGTCACCTCCATCTCATTCTCCCCTACACCGCCCTACGATTTCGCCGCCACTCATTCTGCTTCAGTCTCTATCTACTCCGCCCAGACCTTCGAACGGAGGACCATATCGTCTGCCTTCAAAGACACTGCCACGTCAGCCACCTTTCGCTCCGATGGCCGCCTGCTCGCCGCCGGTGACATTTCCGGATCTGTCCACGTGTTCGACCTCAAATCCCGAGTCCCATTGCGGCGCCTCCTTGGCCACTCCCGCCCGGTTCACGTCGTCCGGTATCCCCTGGCGGACAAGCTCCACATCTTCTCAGGCGGCGATGATGCCATCGTCAAGTATTGGGATGTCACTACAGAGGCTCTGCTTGGAGATCTCTTGGGTCACAAGGACTATGTCAGATGCGGCGACTCATCTCCGGTAAGCGACGACATGTTCATCTCTGGCTCATATGATCACACTGTCCAGGTTTGGGATGTTAGGGTCAAGAACTCGGGTTCGGTGATGAAAATCAACCATGGAAATCCAGTGGAGGATGCAATTTACCTGCCCTCCGGCGGGTTAATCGCAACTTCCGGCGGAAATTCTGTTAAAATCTGGGACATCATCGGCGGCGGGAGACTGCTGCACACAATGGAGAGTCACAACAAAACGGTGACATCTCTCTGCATCGGTAGAGTGGGGAAAGAAACAGGGGAAGAGTCAAACCAATATCGGATCTTGAGTGTTTCCCTAGATGGGTACTTGAAAGTTTTTGATTACTCCAAGTTCAAGATCACATACTCAATGAGATTCCCAAATCCCCTCTTATCAGTTGCATTCTCGCCGGATTGCACCACGAGGGTGATCGGAACTTCGAACGGCATTCTCTATTTCGGGAAGAGAAAGCCCAAATCCCAACCCACAGGCGAAGAGGTTCCCGTGGGTGGTCCCCGGGAACGGTCGTTGAGGCCGTCCTACGTCAGGTACTTCACGAGAGGGCAAAATGGGAAACCTTTGGAAGGGGACTACGCGATCAAGAGGAAGAAGAAGGTGAAGCTGGCAGAGCATGACAAGCTGCTGGGCAGATTCAGGCACAAGGAGGCATTGCTGGCGGCTCTGAGAGTGAAGAACCCGGAGTACGTGGTGGCGGTCATGGAGGAGCTGGTGGTCAGGAAGAAGCTGCTGAGGTGCGTGTCGAATCTGGAGGGGGAGGGGGAGATGGTTCTGCTGCTGAGGTTTCTCCAGAGGTACTTGACCATGCCAAGGTACGCCGGGCTTCTGATGCCGTTGGCCGGTAAGGTTGTTGAGATGAAGGGTGAGGAGATTGGGGCATCTGATGCATTGAAAGCCCACATTAGGAACCTGAAGAGAGATGTTGATGAAGAGGTTAGGATACAGGTGATGTTGCAGGAGATACAGGGCATTGTTTCTCCCTTGTTGAAGATTGCTGGAAGGAGATGAAAAGAAAAGAAGTAATGTCCAAATCCATTATCTTTTGCTTGGAAGACTGGTTTTGTTTTGTTTTTTTGTGTTCTTGCTTTGGATTCAATTTGAGAGTGATATGGTAAACAATTTTCAATGTACACTGCGAGACTAAATGCTGGTTTTCTCTTCTCTGGTTTGTGTTGTTTTCTTGAATTATTATTCTATCCCAAAATCATGTTAAATTTTGTTTATTTGTATTTTCGTTGATTATTGGATAAAATAAAATATTTTTGTCACCTCGTTTTGCATAATTGTAATGCGCTTTGCGTTTGGTCAGAGGAGAGGCACCCAAATGAACTCTGAATAAGAAGACGAAGAAAATAGTGCAAAAAAAATGATTTTGGTAAAAACGAATGGAATTAATGAAAAAGTCATTTTTTAGCCTTCCTTGTTTGAGTATTAATTCCTTCATATTTTTAAAAGTAAAAAATGCATACCAAAAAAATGTTTTTGGAAACGTGTGAGATCCAACCATTTGATCCCTCCACCAATGGGAAGTGTATGCAGTGGCAGTGCCTTCATGGATGGGAATCTTAAGCACAAAACTATGATATGTGGAGTAATCTCCCAATTTATATTATCTGTTCATTATTCACGGGTTAAACTTCATTTACATTCTTTATCCATTCTCGTTAGCAATTTGTTAAAATAAAGTACTATTGTCACTACTAGTTTTGTAGACCTTTTGATGTAATATTTTAATATGTAATTTTTATTTTTTAACACTATAGCATTTGTCATATACAATAATTTGAAAATAATTTCAGTCAAACATTGTAAACCAAAACATGCACCATATATTTGGACGAAAGGAGTAAAAAATAATGTTGACTTTCCAAACATTCATTTAATCTGCATTCTCGTTGAAATTACAAAAACAAAATGGACTATAAAAAAAACTTACAACTGTTACAAGTAAAGGCTCCATACACACTCGGCTGCATCCAGATCTAATATAATCAAACCAAATGAGTATTTGTCTAAAATTTTGTTCGAGTCTCTAAAGCTTATATCAATACCATCATAAGAATTTACAAAAATGTTACAGAAGTAATACACAGCACAATGAGAAGTTGAGAACCCTCCTATCATAAGAACCGATCTCCGATGAGAACTTTTACTCTCACCCATCCATAATTTATTCGCGAATTCCCAACTTTGTTTGATTGAGTGTTTGGGGAAACATACTCATGGCGTTGCAAAACGCGACATTGTTTTTTCTAGTACTTCATCGAAATAAAGAAGAATTTGAATAGGCAGGCTATACCTCCAAAGAAGAAGAACTTGGTGTCAATCCAAAGACCAACTTGGCAAAACCTCCCCCATCCATATAGTGCAGACAACAAACACATTTGAAGTAAAAGAGACATTTTTCTGCAAACATTTTTTGAACTTTCTTCTTCAATGCTAATCATCATCAATCACCACTCTCAAGAATTTGAATCACAAAGTCACCTTCGGCACTTCTTTTTTCACCCCCTTTAAGCTTCACACTATTACCACTCACCTCCTCCTCCACTTCCTTTTCAAGCTTCTTCACCAGTCCTCTAGTATTACGGCTCCCCATCAAGATCAACTCCAACATCTTTCTTCTTACCTCATAAACTGCATTTTGTTCCACCAAACACCCTTTGCTATACGCTTCCCTCAGGTAAACCAACTGAGTATTCCCCTTTGTAGATATGTAAAAAATCCCCTGGTGCTTCAAGAGCAGCTCGCGGATGTTGACTTCGAACCCTAGGTCCTTGCGAAAATGAGCCAACCGCTCAACGGGGACCATCTTGTCCATGGTCAAGCTCAAGAGTTCATGGATGACTCCCACGGCGCGCTTCTCGTACCTCTCCACCCCTCCACAGCTCCTCACCCTAACCACATCTCTTCTCTCATAAGGCTTGATGTACGAAAGCCTCTGCCAGTTCCTCATCTTCTCCTTGAACCCTGCTGGTTTCTTGAAGCCTGTTGGGAAACTCACAGGAAATGCGTATTTCACCTCGAATTCGCTCAGCCAGCGCTCTGTGTACTCCTTTTCCCGCCACTTTTCGACTTCTGCCGCCAGCGGGGGGGATTCGCAGTCCCTGGCAGCCAATTCCACAGCCTCTAGACCCACCATTTTGAAATGGGTATCGTGCTTCTTGATGATTGATTCGCGGAAATTTTCGGGCAGCCCTAATTCGTTTCTGATTAGCCAAAGTGAATGCAGATGGAGAGTGCCATTAACGGACATGAGCAAGAGCTTCCGGATCCGGGCGACGGATTCGGGTTTGAGTTGAGAGATTGTAGATTTTTCCTCCCCGATTAGGGCAGTGAATTTAGGGGTGAATCTGTAGCAGAGCTTACGAGTGGCAGGGCGGGTAAATACCTCGAAAACGTGGGGGTATTTCCGGAGGAGAGCTCCGGCGGTTAGGGTTTTGATGCTGGCGTGCGGCGCCCACTTGGAGAGGGAGTGGACGGAGACGACGGGGCCGCGCCTTCGGGCGGAGACGAGGCGGTGGAGGTCGAGAATGAGGGTGAGGCGGCGGTGGTTGGCCGTGAGGCGGTCGAGCTTCAAGTCCCTGATTCGGTTCTCTAGACGGGTTTGAGCTGTGTTCGCCGGCTTCATTATTATCGGAAAAAATGGAAACGGACTGGGAGACAAGTTTGGCCTATCATATCAAATTGGAATGAAGCTATGGAACACGCAGGCGACTGCGCTCGTGTTCGGTTCCTCCCAATCAGTTTGGACAACACATCTTCTAAAGTGAATTACACTCCGCAAAAAAGTTTAGTTGGATTTAGAGACAATTTTTTTATCGTAAAGTCACCTAAATTTCCAGAATGCCATTTATGTGAGTGAGGTGATAAGATGTACCCGTAGTAGTTGAAACTGGGTAAGGGTTTATTGAAGATTTAAAAGTGATATAACTATCAATTTTATAAATGAAACACCGGTATTCAAATTGGGACGATGACTTCCGTGACAACTAAAATAGAGTAGTCATGGAACGGGCATGATGGTCAAAAATAGAGTGTTATGATAATACTAAGATGTTGGAGTTTTCCTAGCAGGCTAACAACACAACTCATGACATGTTAATGATAAATAGTATTATGGTTACACGCATATGTTTTACTCATAATTTTTTGTAAAATAAAATTATCAGTGTTTTACGTAGTATTTCTTTCGTCCAAAAGTTAAAAAAGCTCATTCGATATCCTTAAACACCTCGAAGGCTCGTTCGATATCCTTTAGATTTTATATAATATTTTTAACAACTAAATTTATTTTATATAATTTTTTTAACTTTATCAGTGTTTTACATAGTATTTCTTTCGTCAAAGCTAATGAGGCGGCGAGAAAGGATATCGAACGAGCCTTCAAGGTGTTCAAGGATAAGTGGCACATTATAGATCGTCCTTCCAGGTGTTATTCTCAAACGAAAATGAAAAATATTATATACGCATGATAATAGAGGATAACGGGTTTGCAATTTGTCATTACAACCCGAATGAGCATGTGCCTACGTATGAAGAAATCGACGAAGAAAAGAAATGAAGAAACTGCCAAAATAATTTGAAGCCAAAAGATCCACCATGCACTAACGGTGAATTTGATTTAACATATTTTTAGTCGCTCAAATAATCATAATTTTTTTGTAATATAATATAATTTTTAATTCTTTTATTTATGTTGTTATTATTAAAACAAATATTAATGCAATTTTTTTATTTAATGAATTATTCTCGCTTAAATTTAATTAATTAATAAATTATTACTAATTTACCTTTACAAAATGTGTATTAAAAAAATTTAAAAAAAGATTTGAAGCCACAGCTTGAAGTCTTAGAGCTTTAAACTTATTAATAGTGAAATTGTGAAGTATTTAAAGTACGCTAATGTGGCAGACAGAAGATTGGAAGCCCAACGTATATCCAGTGCCCTAAAAATCTAAGTCCAGTAAGCCATACTTTCTTAGGTTCAAATCCTCAATGGATAAAGTTCTATCCGGAGGTAGGGAGGTGTTGGTTCGGTAATCGGTACACATGCTGAGATGAGATTTTTGCACATTCACTGTAAAAAATTTACTTTTCCTCAAAAAAAAAAAATTAACTTTATTAAATCTTGATTGTCCAACAAGATAGAAGAGTTTAAGATCAAATTGATATTTTTAAATCAAATTGAATGTACTGTAATCACAATTAAATAAAATTGAATTACATATTGATACAAAAATAGTCTGAGTTAAGCTACAGTAATCCTAAATATAAAATCGAAGTTGACGCTTCCAATATTTCAGACAATAATACAGATAATAATATGTGCATGGATGTCTATGAGTATGAGATACAAGTAGTATCAACTTCGGTGTCATCCTAAATTAACGTATTATTTTCAAAATATTCTTAAGTGGTGTTTGGCAACTAGCATTTCATTTCAATTCATGCATTTCAATTTCAAAATTTGAAATCTTGTATTTCAAATGACAAGGGGAGGTGCATGAATTTCAAATTAAGCTTTGTTTTAAATGTAAAGAATTTGATTCAAATCTAAATTCAAAATGTTTAAGTTTCCCAAACATGTAATTTAAGCCAAATCCGGATTTGAATTCCAAATCTATGTTTCCAAACATACCATTAATAAATTTATTTTTCCGTAATAAAAAATTAAAATCCATTGTATTAATATTCAATGTAACTTTCACAAATCGTCTAATTTGACTGAAAAAAATCAAACTGAATAAATATCCTGGAACGTAACATTATATTTGCAAGCAAGGATTTAAATGGTAATAAGACACGTGAACATAAGTTATATTCTCAGTTGGTCACATATATCCACTATACCAAGCCCTTAAGCAATGGCCTTTGTTTTTAATCATCAAAGTCTCCACTTTTCTGTCTTTCACCAAGTTGGCTTCCACATTTAGCATAATCCCAAAACTCAAGCTACTAAAGAATTACCAGCACAAGTGAAACACAAACAGAAAGAGGAAAAGATACAATGACGCGCCACCAAGAACCATAATCATTCATTCTTATATTATTAATTAAAACAAATGCATAAACATGTAATATAGTTTTCTAAGAAGACGAAAAACAAAGGGAGTCGTGCTATAATGACACCATGTTTGACACCACGAATGACAATCGTCTATGGGTTTTTTCACACATAGACAATGCAATCGTTTGTGAACACAATTCACTGATAACTATATCATGTATACAAATTTAAACATGGTTAACAGATGTTATCCGTGGTGCCAAACGAAGTGTTATTTTAGTATGACACAAACAAAGAAACTCCCTATATATCGTGTAATGACACCAAGTATGACACCAAGAATGACAATCGTCTATGAATTTGTTAACACAAAGACGATGCAATCGTCTATGAACAAGATTGCCAGACGATTATATCATGTGTACAAAATGACAGACGGTTGACCGGTTGTTATCCGTGGTGCCAAACATAGTGTTATTTTAGCATTACTCACACAAAGAAACTCCCTATATATTGTGCAATGACACGATAAACTTAATGTTACGAGCCAGACATAGATGAGATTAAGGCACCTTCCTACTTGGAAGCTCCTCTGTTGGGCAACTTAGGCTCTGAGGAGGGGGTGTTTGGGTTGAGCTCGTCCCAAGCTTCAATCCATGTAACCATGGCATCGGCGAGCTTGATGAAGTAATCATCAACATTGCCAAGCTTAGCCTTCACTTGTTTGGAGAGTTCGAGGTAGCATTTCTGGACTGTGGTGCAGTCCTTTGGGAGGGCAACGGACTGGAAAAATGGGATCAGTTCCTCTTGCCAGTAGATGCCTTTGTATTCCTTCTTTAGGTTAACAAAGGGGTTGCTGGCTTTGCTGTGCCAGATGTAGGGCAGACCGGTCTTCACTCCCCATCCCATGTGGTCGCAGATCACCTACATGGAATGAAAGAAACAATTAACCATTTTAACCTCTATTATTACTGTTATTATACTCATCATCATTAATTGGTTTATTATTATTATTATTATTATTATTATTATAAAGTGGGTCAAATGAAGTAGAGTTTAGTAGACGGATAGGACCCTAGGACAATTGGTTTTTAGCAAAATAAGCTGTTGAGGAACTTATACAAGAAAACATACTTTTGTGGAAAATAAGTTGTTTTTTATATTAAACAGAGCAAGCAACAGAAGAAAAATAAAAACTATGACAAAAATGAATTCCGCTTTCAGTCAGAGTTGTATTCCATAAAATAACAGACAATCAAGGGGAATATTTTTCTTCATAAAAGTAATTTTCGGTGCAAAAGTGCCAAAGGAGAATGAAAAAAGCACTTCCAAATGAATTATTTTCTTGGAAACACAAGGTGTAGAAATAGAGTAAAAGTACCTTGATACACCATCCAGCCCACATATCATCATAACGTCCAATGGGTTGGCCATCACCCATGAGTCCGAAGTACATAGCAGGGCCAATCAGTTCCCGGTTGAACCCTAAATTCATACCACACATGGGAAAGAGTGTGCCTTTTGGTATTGTCAAAACTGCATCAACATACCTTAAAATGGCCATAAGAGAAGCGATTAGTGTGATCACGTTACATGGTAATATATCAAGAAAATCCATACATCAATCACTTTCACACCTAGTGTTTCTTTCTCGGGGTTTGACAAGCTGGGTAGGAGCATCATAGTCAGGGATATTGAGCCAGAGTCCATGCGAAACAGCCGTGGTTACACCTTCACGGAGACTGAATGGGTACCCACGGACAAAATCTGCACCATCTCTGTATGGATCATACAAAGTGTTGAAGAAAAAAGGTGTTGCAGGGGACAGAAGGTTCTTGATGTGCTGCTCTAGTGCATTAATGTCCTTCCCAGAAGGATCTTTGGCAACCTATGTATTTAGTAAGAAATTAAATAAACACAAGATGAAAGCTCAAGCTTAAAATATCAGACTTCTAACAGAAACCTTAAACAACAAAACCCTTTAATCTTGATATGTGATACTCCCTCCATTAAAAAAGAGTCATGTTTCAAATATTGTTGTAAGTATCAGGAATCAGACCCCTTTTCAGGAATGCAAGTAGTAATAGGTAAGTTAAAATTTCTTACTACATGAAATATGGAAGCAGACAATTCAACAATAACAAAAAAAAGGATTAAGGATGCCAAATCAAATGTGTGTGTACCTTGTTAAAGTGTGTGTGTGTGTGTGTGTGTGTGTGTGCTTGAAATGCTACCAATTTTCAAAAAAGACTGAGCTTGGGAAGAAATGTGAATGCCATAATGAAATGCCATTTTTGACACCTTCAACATATCTCCTATCGAATGGAACGCCCACCATTTGACCATATTAAACAAATTAAAAGATCACAGCATACTACAAGGTAAAAACTTCTGCATTTCAACATGAATTCACCAGATTAAGAGACCAAGGACAAACAATTAGATATTCATCAATGCCTAGACATTCAACGCTAAAATTAAGGAAAGCAATTGACTGAAGATCCATTCCGCGGACGGATTGATATCAATGTCCACCACCTAAGGAGATCTTAAAAATCTGAATTTGAACAAAGCAAAGAAGAATACGGAGTAAATTTAAATCCTAAAACCCCCTAACAAAATCTGGTCTTTCAACTTGAAATCGCAATAAAACTCATATTTACCAATGCCCAGAAACTAAATGCTAAAATCAGAGAAAGAAATAGAGGGAAACCGGCAAGACACTCACAAAGCAGTCATCGTCAATGGTGTAGATGTACTTCTTCTTAGACACCATGTACCCAAAGCAGCGGCAAGCTGAGTCCTTGAAGGAAA